TTTCTTTTCTTTTCTTTTCTTTTCTTTTCTTTTCTTTTCTTTTCTTTTTTTTTTCTTTTCTTTCTACCAGTTGGATTGTTTGAATCAGGTTCCAAGCAAGTGTTGTGGTTATTTTTAAACTTGATATATTTTAAAGAGAAAATTAAGGCAGTGTGAAAACATTTTAGTATAAGCTATTCTAAGAGAGCAGTGCTTTTCTGACAGCCATTCTTTCTGGAACTTAGTTTTGCTTATATGTATGAGGAGATGTCACAATAGCTGGTATCTACTTTTTATGATTTTTAAACCTAGGAAATCTTCAAAATGGGGAAAAGTGGGTATGACCTCACTTAACCTAGAAAAGTAAAGAGTGAAAAATACGAGATTTGAGAAGGTTCAGTTTGTAGGAGACTACAACTTTAGGACAGAACACCTCAGATGGGACTTGTGATTGCTTTTGTAACTACATGTGTAATGTTATGGTGTATTTTATCTTGATGGACTTACATGCCTCATTTGTAAAATAAAGAATGGGTGATTTCTTACACTTCTCCTTAGTTCTTAATTTTTTGTGTTTTATTTTACATTTATGCTTGACTTTGACAGGATTCCCAAAGTTGGATTGGTGGAAACAATGAACCATTGACTGGCTTTACATGGCGAGGTGGTTGTGAGAGAGAAACAACAGGCATACAAGTTTGGAATGAAGTATTTGTGATCGATAGACCTAATGGAACAAAAGTAAAATACTGTTCATATTTCTTACTGTTTTTTTCTTTAATATTATTTTTTTGAGCTTTTTCATGGTATTAAAGATCAAAACAACACAGAACTATTAATGTCTGATAACTTTAACATAACATATATGGATTATTATGTCAAAATGTGTGAGATATTTAGCTTAGAGTACTTTTCTTAATTATTGATTTTGACACTTATCATTTTAAATTTGGTTTTAATAGTCCCTATTGGTGAGTATTTTACTTAGTGTTTTAAACTTTTAAATTCCTAGGTGGCTGTGCTGCTAATGGATACCCAGGGTGCCTTTGATAGCCAGTCAACTATCAAAGACTGTGCAACGGTGTTCGCTTTGAGCACCATGACTAGCTCTGTCCAGGTGAGACATGAAATGCTGTGGTATGATCAGTTCAGATAATCCTAATACCTTTGCTCTTTCTTAAAATGTTTTTGAAAACAAAACAGATGAACATAGGTCAAGGGGGGTGGGAAGAGAGGGAAGCAAACTGAACTGTAGAAGACTATGGAGAACTGAGGGTTGCTAGAGGGGAGGGGTGGGGGATGGGCTAAATGGGTGATGGAGATTAAGGAGTGCACTTGTTTTGTTGAGCACTCCCTGTTACACATAAGTGAGGAATCACTAAATTTCTGCTCTTGAAGTCAGTATTACACTATATGTTAACTAACTAGAATTTAAGAACTTGGAAAAAAATCCACATTGAAAGAAAAGTTTTTTGATTAAAGGATTAAAATTAGAGTTATTTATATTTCTTATTGGTCATTTATATTCCATGCTTTTTTGGTTCACAGTATGAAATTTCATACTTTGAAATATACTTTCATACTTTGGTGTGGAAGTAATAAACCATATATATATTTTTTCTTCTTAAAGATTTGTTCATTTATTTGAGAAAGAGCGCATGAAAGGGGGGTAGGGGTAGAGGTAGAGACAGAATCTCAAGCAGACTGCACCGAGTGCAGAGCCTGACATGGGGCTCGATCTCACAACCCCGAAATCCATGATCCGAGCCAATGCCAAGAGTTGGAGGCTTAACCCACTGAGCCATCCAAGCACCCCTATGCTTTTTAAAAATTATTTTTAAAGGAAAAGACATTGCATGTTATCTTTAATTGAATTCAGTCATATGGTTCCCAGATATATTAAGGTGTAGAGTATATCTATATCTTTTATGTTTTGGCTAAACCAATAAAGAAAAAAAACTCAAGTAGTTTTCTACTTGGTATGTATGACAACTAATACTTGATTATTTGAACTAATGGTGGTAGAGGTGGAAGAATTAATTCATATTTAACTTAGGAAGTGTATGTGCTGTTTCTGTAATACACTAAGGACTTATAGGAACTGTTTAATTTAGTAAAATCTGTTCTGTTTTCCCTTAACTCTGTGCTTTTAATTGTATTTGGTATTACATCAAGTTCTAGTCTTTTGAAGCTAGTCCTTTTCCTCTCTGTATAATTTAGGCTGACAGACTGAATTAAGCCACCACATGTCATTTTGTATCTTTACTTTCTTTTTCCTGAGATTGTCTGTGGTTGGTGCTCCTCCGGCTAAAGAATACTGAGTGTGATGGTTAGCTCTAACGGGTGATGATGAGCCCAGAAGTATATACATGAATAATAGAAGTATGTGCTCCTCCTGAGATGATGTTCCCTATTGATGGTAGATCATAGGTGAAGCTGTCACAGTGTCTTGGAATTTTTGTATGGCTTTCTGGTCATATCTGGAGTATATGTCCAGTCTATTTAAGTTCCATTTCCTTCCTTCCTCAATTTGAAGTATCTAGCTGTCAGAATGGAAAGCAAATTTTGGATATTACTATGAGATAAAAAAAGAGTACTTTTCAGCTTGACTTCTGTTTTCTTATAGAGTTGGGGAGCTCTGGTACTACTAGTTAAGTGATGCTTTGGGGACCCCTACAGTATCTTTTCTCCTTTTGTTCTGCCATTTTCCTCTGATCTTGCAGGGTGGTGCAGCTGCTTTCCTGAGGCAAGCAGAAGCCAGTTGTTGTGCGTTTCAGATTAGCTGCCTCTGTGGCTTGCCTTAAATTATAATGAGGGAATTCTCTGTCCTGAAATTTGTACCTTGGTGTTCTCTTGTTTATTTATTCAACTTTATGATAGTATAGGAGGCCTGGTTTTGGACAACTACTTAAAGCCACTCTGCCACTTAATAATCTGTAAAATGAGGATTTTTACCCATCTTGCATGTGATGGTTGTGTGGAGGCAGAAATAAGATCTAAATGAGGTAATGGATAAGAAAATACTTTGTAAACCATAAATAATGAAGGTGAAAATTATTTTCATTTTTTTTTCCCCTCAGCTTTGAGTCTACATTTCTCTTCCTTACATACATTATCTGGTTGATAGATCACTTGTCATTTATTCTTTCAACAAATAATTGTTGAACATCTATTAAGTAAAATGCAGTGCGCTAAGTACTAATGATCTAAGATAAACAGATCTTCTCTTTTTGCCATTTGCAACCTGGCCCTGAAAATGAAAGTATCTCGACCTGTTTTCTAAAAGCTAAGGCCCCCGTGGATAAGAATAGGTGGTCATGCTTTCAGATTTTAAGTTTAGCTCTAGTATAATCACCTCAGTCATTAATTACTTTTTAAGTATGATGTTTGGAAATAGTCAGCTATGTCATTTTAGGTGTGCTGTCCTATTTTGGCTGTTTATATTCTTGACATCCAAGTGATTCAGCTAGATTATCACTTACTTGCCATTAGAACAAATTGTTCTATCTTTGGAGTAACCCTGTTTTCTTAAACATAAGTTACTTCACAGCAGAAGTGACATCTGTGGACACCCACTTTTCTCTTGCAGCTGCCTGTTTCACTTTTTAACCTGACTCGGAAGGATTGGACCTCTTCTGCAATTTCAGTCTTTGCTCTGGTTTCCCTTCCTTGACAGCACGTAGACCTTCAGCTCTGGGCTCTGCCCTGGAAAGCCTCCTAAAACATTCTATAGAAAGGGCAAGAGTGCCACCTACTGTTGTTTTTTTCAGCTGTCCTAAAATTTTCAACTTAAGTACTAAGATAGATGAGCCATGTAGACCTGATGGTAGTCACGGCACCCCTCAAATAACTATAAACTATATCTGTCGATCCATCCATCCATTCATCCAAACACACACACACACACACACACACACACACACAATTAATTATACCAGAAAGGAATATATCTTTGTAGAATTATGCCCCTCACATTCGTTAACTTAGAAAAACAATTGTGGAAACAATTTTCACTCAAAATGGTCATGTCATAACATTAAAGAAACTTTGAGAAGGAAAAAAAAAAATCTTACTGCATAATATACTTTAAAAATGTCTCCCGCTTTATCGCTTCTTGGCCTTTTGGCTAAGATCAAGTGTAAAAATGTCTCCCGCTTTCTAGACCACAATGTTACATATTCATAGTTTTTACATAATTTACTATCACTGCTTTCCCCTTAATGTTTTATCCCATTGGAAGAAAGAGAAAATCCTTTTTCTTGTGCCACTAGTTAAGCTAATGACTAAGTGATTAATTTGTGCTGACATATAAAATAATCTTCATTTCTGCAAGTAAAGTTATATGCAGGTGGGTATTAAAAAAATGAATAAAAACACAGTTTTGTTTTAACAGGTATATAATCTGTCTCAGAACATTCAAGAAGATGATCTTCAACACTTGCAAGTATGTATTTCTCAAAGAATGTGTGCCAAAGAATGGAAAATAAAATTCTTACTTAATTGTGACTTTGCATCTAGAAGCCTATTACAGTGTAAGAAAATTCAATATTAATATGGTTTTAAACTGATACAGAACTTCTTAACTAGAAGAAATTTTAAGGTATATCCAGTCTGTTAGAAAATTAAATGCTTGACTTTCAGATGATTTTAAAGGCTCTGTTGTCTATCTGTTCTGACATAGAATGACTTTACAATTCTTTCAGTCTCTTTGGGGGCATTAATTTAAATAACTTGCTTTAATAGTTATTTACAGAGTACGGCAGACTTGCAATGGAGGAAATCTACCAGAAACCATTTCAGGTAAATAAGTATTTTCTTGTTTTTAGAAACTTATATGTAAAAAGCTGCTAGGCCACCTTATCTTTTAAGTCTGAAGATAAGAGGATATTATAACAAACTCATTGTTTAGCAACAGATTCAGTGGAGTTGAAACTAATGCCGTTACCACCTTACTAGTAGTAGGTTAACAGTAGGAAATAGAACAAATGAATATAGCTAGATTGCTAATACTTAGATTGAGAGGTTGATGTTACTCTTAATTAGATGTTATTCAATTCCTAAACTTGAGACAGTCATGCAAATTTCTTTTTTATATGGGGAACTATCACAAAATATTACAGTTTTTTTGTGTGTGTGTCTGTGTGGTATATTACAAGTTGAGGTTAGTCCCGTTATTCTTTATTTGGTTTCATACAGAGAGGTTTCACAATTTATTATATCTCTCCCCTCCTTCTACCCCCTCAATCCCTGTATGTTTTTATTCCTTTTAAATGCCAGGTACAGAATACTAAGTCAGAAATAAACCTGGGTGGAGTTATGTGAGAAGCATATGCTCTGCTTGCTTCTGTGGAGTCCTGTTGTGACAGAGATTTAAATTAAAAAAAAAGCAAAGCTAATTTCAGATAGTTTCTTTGTTGAAGTAAGTGTAATTTATAAGTTGGCATTAGTACTATTTAGTCAGATGTGTTATAGTCTGTGAGAATGACTCCGTCCTGTTTACTTCTCAGTATGTGAAGTCCTTTCTGTGTGACAGCATTGCTGGTGATTCTTAGTGTTGGTGGGTTTATATCGATCCTGCTTCAGTCTTATGTGGCTCAAGTGATCACTTTTTTTAAAAAAATTAACATAATGTATTATTTGTTTCAGGGGTACAGGTCTGCGATTCATCAGTCTTACACAATTTACAGTGCTCGCCACAACACATACCCTCCCCGGTGTCCATCACCCAGCCACCTTACCCTCCTGTCCCCCTTAAGTGATCACTTCTTATGAGATATTGGGCAGGTTATGGCTTTATTTGTATATATGGATGAAATAAACTCTCTTTGTCTTATGTCAGTTTTTCTGAACTGAGTTAATTTTGTCACCCAGGGGACATTTGCCAATGTCTAGAGACATTTTGGTTGTCACAGTTTTGGAGGGAGGTTAATGATACTGGCATTAGTGCCTAGAGGCCAGAAATGCTGTTTATCATCCAGCCATGCACATCTAAAAATTATCTGGTTCAGAATATCAGTAGGGCTGAGATTGAGAAACATCAGCATATATGAGTAAAAATTTTAGTGAAGGGAATCATTTGGTCTAGAAATAGATTATTTGGTCTTTCAGTTATACAACCTTGACTTAAAATTATGATCTGTATGCTTTTGTTCATTTCTTAAAGAAGCTGTATTATTTTCTGTGGTGACTCTTTCTTCATATACCATGTAGTTCTCAGATGGAAGCAGTTGCTTGGTGTAGGGGTGGGAGTGTTACAGGCTTAAGGCCCTTGCTAGAACTGTGAGCAGCATTAACCATTTGGTCATTATAATTTCAGTAAAGGATTATTTAGGGGAGTGCATGATTATTAAATTGTTAAAGTAGTGATTTTTTTTTAATCAAACTTTGTAATAAATGATTTCTACCTTTTTCTCTCTGTAGACATTAATGTTTTTAATTCGGGATTGGAGTTATCCTTATGAACATTCATATGGTTTGGAAGGTGGAAAACAATTCCTTGAAAAGAGATTGCAGGTAAGCCCCCATTTCCTAGTGAAGAGAGCATAAGCACCAAGCCAGATAAAGGAGTGGGCTGTCTGGACTGCTCTTACACTTCCAGTTTCTAAGTGCCGCCACCATAAATTGCATACCCTAAGTTAGCCCAGGTGGCTCCATACAGAATTGATGAGCAGTAAATTGGTATCCTGCCAAAGAGGCTAGTGCCCTTGAATAGAAATTAAGGAACAAGTATTCCTCCTTAGAACCAACTATAAATCAATATTCAAAGGAAAAATGTTTGAAGGAGACTTTTTTGATCTGCTTGCATGTGGGTCTCTTTCTGGCCCAGCTGACCTTCTGAACATGGGACAGACTGACTGGATAATGTAATGTGCGTACATTGAACACAGACAACGTGAGGTTCTTTTCTCCAATAAAAGTGTCTTCTAGAGTGACAGCATATAGAGCTAGTGTCTTCTAGAGTGACAGCATATATAGCTAGAAGAGGGATCTTAAACATCATCTAATTCAGCTTTCTTTTTAAGATAGATAATGTCACTGAACCTAGAAAAGTGACTCGCCTTTGATCTCTTAACTAATTGTTGGTAACTGGGACTAGGACCCAAATACCCAGACTCCTGGCCCATGCAACATGCTACACTAAAGCATTCCTAGAAAATAACCTCACCAGCGTGACCCTTTGTTCCTAAACATACCCTCCTATAGAAGTACTTGCAGAAGCCCGCAGGTCAGTTATACCCATCTACTCCCATACACCAAAGTTATGTGAAAATCCCTTAATTCATTAGTTAGTAGGGTCTTCTCTTTTGGTAAATAAAATTTAGTTTGCCTGTAGGATGATGCATGTAGTTTTTCAACCACATTCAAAAACATAGGGTATAATATAATTTTCTTATGAAAAGAAGATTAAAACCAGTTCTTCATTCTTGGATATTTGAAAGGCATTTCCGGACTCTATTGTCAGAGATAATTTCAGTCATCAGTTTCCTCTGGTTTGTTCAGCAGAAATGAACAAACAGCATATCAGGCATACTCAGAATTATATACTTCAAAGATAAGATTTTATCGTAAGTGATACAGCAAAGTGCTCAAGTCATAAGTGTGCAGCTTGATGAATTTATGCAAATGAACAAAGCCATGTAATAGCACCCAGAAGTACCCTACCTTCATCCACTTGCTCCTAAACCCTTCAATTCTCTCCTGATAGCTAACAGGCTTCGTGTATACTTTTTATGAAAGGAATCACATACACCATGTAGACACTCTTGTGTCTAGCTTCTTGCTCAATATTATGTGTCTGAGATACTGTTGCATGTAGTTTAATTCATTCTCATTGCTATGCCGTATTCTACTGTATGAATAGACAACAGTTTCTTCATTCTGTTCTTGATGGAGATTTAGGTAGTTTCCAGGTTTTGTTGATTATAAATGGTGCATGCTTTTTTAAAATGGTGTTTGAGAAGAGTCTTTGAGAAGGTATGTGAGTTACACTAGGATAAGTAGTTATTAAAAAAAATTTAATAAAGATTTTCTTCCAGAAAATACGTAGCAGTCTCTCTTCCCCAAACACTGATAACTAGCGTAAATCAAAAATAATTATTTGGGGTAAGTACTGAAATCCCAACAAGTTTCAAAGTCCTTTGGACTGCACTGGAGCTTTTTCATTTTGACTGTTACTTTGCTCAGGGGCTGACCTTTTTATGTGTAGGCAAATTAGTACTTTGTTTTTCTTTTTGCCATTATAAGTACTTGAAAGGCAAATTCTTAATTTATTTATGGTTTGTAAACCACAACCACTACTTGTTAGTCTGGTGTTGGATATTACGATTAATTATTATTTGTATTTTTTCATTTCACTCGTTGGGAGCTTACCTGGGGAAAACATCTTTTCTAGTTTTAAGACAAAATGGAGTCTTACCTAAGTGGTCAGAAATAGGTCTTAAGTAAAATTTTTTGTTGTCAAAAAACTCTGATCTGGAGTAGCATCTGAGGTAAGTGTGCACACTTGTGAGTGTGTGTATATTTTCTTTAAAACTTCTTTTTCCTGTTTGCACCTTCACCTTGCTTCTTTCTACCCTCAGGTAAAGCAAAATCAACATGAAGAGCTACAGAATGTAAGGAAGCACATTCACAATTGTTTCTCAAATCTTGGTTGCTTCCTTTTGCCACATCCTGGTCTTAAAGTTGCAACTAATCCTAGTTTTGATGGGAGATTGAAAGGTGGGAATTCCCATTCTTGCTAAAATCAAAACTTAAATTTTAGAGGCTGAGAATTTAAAAAAAAAAAAAAAGTACATGGTTCCTTAAATTTTCCGTTTTTTTACTGGAAAACATTTTGATGTATTGTTAAGGAGGTGATTTTAATGCTCTGCGTGGTCTGTCTAGCTTTCCATTGATTTGTCCCAGACATCTAGTGTATGGATTAGCATATTTTATTATTATGTGGTTTATTGCTCAGCACTGTTGTTCTAAAAATTGCAAAGACTGAGAGCATTTCAGTATTTCATCTGTTTGCAGTCTGTAAAATGTTTACCAGTATATCATATTCATGTAATCAGATTTAAATTTCTGTTTTAGGGATGATAGTTTTTTGAGTATGTTTTAGGATTGGAGCGTGATGGCAAAAGGCTGGAGGAATAATGAAAGTTTTACAGGATAGCTGGAAAAACAAACTCTAGTATTAAAATTTAGTACAATTTCATGAATTGTTTGCCTTTTGAAAAGGAGATGGAATTTATTTTGGTAGTCCACTATTTCTTATTTGAGATTAAAGAATTATTGGGGTGTGAGGAAAATGGAGTAGCAGAATGTATTTTTTTCCTATGAGATATGATGTCTTTGGATGAGATTTTCTAAATGAATCTACTTAAGTAATAGATACTGTATATTTTCATTTCATGAAACAGAATTTTATGTAAACTCGTACCGATAGGGACTCCTTTAATCCTTCTTTTTTTGACTAACATGTTGACTTTTATCTCATGTCTGCTAGATATTGATGAAGACTTTAAACGAGAGCTTCGAAATCTGGTTCCATTGCTGCTTGCCCCTGAGAATTTGGTAGAAAAAGAGATAAGTGGATCTAAAGTCACTTGTAGAGATCTTGTAGAATACTTTAAGGTAGGAAAACTCCCACTAAATGACTTTGTCTCATTTAGAAATACAGCTGACTTAAAACTCATATGTATGTTCATATATGTATTTATCTTTATAAAGCAAAAAAGGGAAATTTATAGTTTGTTTTTCTGCTTTGAATTGGCTGTATCACGTTTTAAGGATATTTAAAATTACAGCAGGCAACTTGTATCTCCTAGCGATTTTGTTTGTGGAATTATCCTACTTTTTCTCCAGCTCTGATACAGAGAGAAGAAGATCATTCACCATAAAATTGTAATATCCCTTTATCATTTGTGAATGATGATAGATATTGGGAGTACAATTCTGTATCTTGAGTTCTCATAAAAGCCTTCTCTCTTGAGTTCTTGAGGATTTGATAAGAGCAGTTGAAAGTACAAAACTGGTTTTTGAGTTCAAGTAAGTTATACATAGATTTTTTTTTTTCTTTCTCTATGCTCTTCTCTGGTCATCATTGCTTGCTTACCAGAGCAAGACCATTGTCAGCGTTCTTATTCATAGTAGTTACAGAGAGGTGGAAGGGAACTATTGACATGAGAGTGTGTTTTTGTTAATTTATTGGACAGTTGATGGTAACTTTCATACTGGTTTTCTTAAGTTATGAATTAATTTAGAGGCAGTAAAAAGTTGAGATGAACAATTCCTATTATGAACTATTCAAAAACTTCATCATCTTACTTTTAAAGCATTAATTGGGTAATTTTTCTTCTTGAACTGAATAACTTGGTCAAAGTGAAACACTGAGTAAAAATGTTTTCTAATAATTAAAACAATGCAGGAGAGGAGAATTACGGATTTCTTTTCATAAGGTAGATGGCATTGTATATATAACTTCTAACTATGAGACAACTTGAATGTTAAAATTACATTTAGAAACATAGGATATAATTTAGCAATTTTTTTGCAACATTTTTTTATTAACATAAAATGTATTATTTTAGGGTGCTGCAACATGTGTTTTTTATAATGTTGAGAATAGGGTTAACTGTGGAAATGAGAGTATATGATTTTTAAGTCTTCATTTTCCTTTTATTTATATTTTTCAATTTATTTTTGTATTTAGGATCTTTTCCCTTGACTTTTCAAAGTATGAATTATTTTTATATTTAATGGTTTTCCTTCTGTAGAGCCAGTTTGTTTACCCTGCCAACATAATGTCTTTTGTATTTTAGGCTTACATTAAAATTTATCAAGGAGAGGAACTTCCACATCCAAAGTCCATGCTTCAGGTAGTGTGTGTGTTGTACATAAATTTATTAATGAAGGAGAAAAGTCTTTGGTTTAGAAATAAATGCTGGAAATGGCATCATGCTTCTTTGCATGCAGATAAATTTCAAATATTTAAGGCAATACACGTCTTGGGTCCTGAAGTTTTTATATGATTGCAGACCTTGCACACACACAGGCCATCAGAAATAAGAGTTTTCAGTATCTTCTCAGTTGCTGGAAGAATGTAGAAAAATTTCTTTTGCAGGAGATGGCTAAAAATGGGCCTGTCTAAACCAAATTTATTCTGTTTTTGGAGTCTTTGACAATGAATGTTTGAAATAAGGCTTATTTTTCTTCTTGATATTAATGATTTAGAGCTGCTTCTAGTGCATATAGGTTTTTTTCCTCCCTCCTTTTTAAAAGGTGTCTTTTGGAGGCTCCTGGGTGACTCAGTTGGTTAAGCATCTGCCTTCAGCTCATGTTGTGATCCTGGGGTGCTGGGATTGAGCCCCATATGGGCTCCAGCCTCACATGGGCTCCCTGCTTAGTGAGGAGCCTGCCTTTCCCACTCTCCCTACTGCTCCCCCTGCTTGTGTGCACATGTGTGCGCTCTCTCTCTCTTTCTCTCTCTGTGTCAAATAAGTAAGTAAATCTTTTTTTTTTAAAGGTGTTCTTTTGGGACAGTGTTATTTTAACCTAGTTAAATTTATTTATTTATTTTTAAAGAATTTATTTATTTACTTGACAGAGAGAACAAGAGAGCACAAGCAAGGGGAGTGGCAGAGGGAGAGGGAGAAGCAGGCTCCTCGCTGAGCAGGGAGGCAGATGTGAGACTTGATCCTAGACCCTGGGATCATGACCTGAGCTGAAGGCAGATGCTTAACTGACTAAGCCACCCAGGCACCCCAACCTAGTTCATTTTTTGAAAAAAGATAAAACAGCTTAATTTAAGAAATCAAGAATAATTAGTGTTATATTCATGTCGATCTGTTCTTAGTAAATTTTATACCAGTGTGTTCATACTGTTAACGTTTCACCCAAATTTATGTTTAATTTTTTTCAGATATATATTTAGTTCCTATTTTTAAAGATTGGCCATTTTGGGTAATTTCTCATTTTTATAGTAGATTAAACAGTATTTTCTTCTAAAGGTCCTGCAGTAAGCAGTTTTGTGGATTTAAAAAGTCCTTGTGTAATACTGATATGAGAGGTCAAGCTTATCAGTAATTCTTGGTTTTATACATCTGGAGGCTTGACAAATTTAAGGTTGTGTCTATTTCTCTATTACTTACTGAGCATGTGTGTTGTTTGTTACAAACTCTTCTTTTTTTTTTTTCTTTAAAGATTCATTTTTTCTAGAGAGAGCACAAGTGAGAGGGGCAGGGAGAGGGAGAGAGAATCCCAGACTCTGCGCAGAGCCAGAGCCCAGTGTGGGCCTCCATCTCATGACCCTCACTGAGATCGTAATCTGAGCTGAAACCAAGAGTCAGACACCTAACCAGCTGAGCCACCCAGACGCCCCTGCATACCCATTTTAATAAACCTAAGTGAAACAAATAGACCTATTTGAAGTCCTGTTAGGAGCAATTGGTTTATCTTTTATACTTGTGTTCCCTTCCATTGGAAAGGAAAACTGGAAGTTGATAATGTTTTCTCTGGTTCATTTTTAGGCTTGTTCATTGTATATAATTTATTGTGTTAATCAAAATTTATAGAGCCTTTGAGTATCTTTTGCATAAAATTGGCACTTTTTTTTTTTTTTTTAAGGCAACAGCTGAAGCTAATAATCTTGCTGCGGTAGCAGGAGCAAGAGAGATCTATTGCAAAAGTATGGAGCAGGTTTGTAACCAACATTTAATTTTGACACTAGACTGAGATAGAGGATTTTTACTTTTAAAATAATTGAGCTAATTTGTGTTCCTTATGCATTGTCACGTTACATCATTCACTGATTCCCCTTTTATCATCTCTGCTGGAAATAAACTAAGAAAATAATTCACATGGTTAGAGTGCAGGGTACAGGTGGCAATTTATTACATAAATCGTACAAAATAGTTTTGACACATGATTCAGAGCACTCTTATTAGTAGCTTCTCATGTAATATTAGTTTAAGGCCAATAGCATCTTCTGTGCTAACCTTGCTAACTTGAAATTAAAGTACCTTTTTTCTGTGTTCTCTTTTACCCGCTCTCTGCCAGCAGTCTTTCTGTATTCTCATGGTTTGTTGGTGGGTCAAGTGAAGTCAGCTCCGGATGGCAGTGTAATTGGTTTTGTCTTTACTGGTATTAGTCATACTTGGCTTATTTTGCCTGAGTCAGTTAAACATACAAGAAATAAATGTGTGCGGTATTATGAAAAAGTTTAAAACTAAACTATGTAGGTGGCTTGACTTTTGAGACTAAAAACTGTGAGCAGCGAGCTTCTCTCATGTGTGAATTATTTCTAGCCTGTAATGTGTCCTTCTGTAATCCTGTCTGGACAGGTATGTGGTGGGGACAAGCCTTATATTGCACCTTCAGATCTGGAGCGAAAACACCTGGATCTCAAGGAAGTGGCGATTAAACAGTTTCGTTCAGTGAAGAAAATGGGTGGAGATGAATTCTGCCATCGTTATCAGGACCAGCTTGAAGCTGAAATTGAAGAAACCTATGCAAATTTTATAAAGCACAATGATGGCAAAAATATCTTCTATGCTGCTCGTACTCCTGCCACACTGTTTGCAGTCATGTTTGCTATGTATATAATCTCAGGACTGACTGGCTTCATTGGCCTAAACTCTATAGCCGTCTTGTGTAACCTTATCATGGGGTTAGCACTGACATCTCTTTGTACTTGGGCATATGTAAAATACTCTGGGGAGTTCAGAGAAATTGGAACAATGATTGATCAGATTGCTGAAACACTATGGGAACAGGTTGGTATCTATCTTTTGGTTTTTCAGTGACTAATATCATCCCGTGACACTTTCCCACCCTTCTCCTGCAGTATTTGCACACCTACTTTTCCTTTACATGAGGAATGTCAAAAGGATGTTTTCTGTTTTGTTTGGTTGTATAATCTGAATATAAAGTATGAACTGGAGAATTTTTTTCTTCAAGTCATAATTATAGTGTGCTTTGATTGGCTGAAATCTGTAATATCCTTTGGGTAGATTCTTAGTCATAGGCCTGATGATGCCAGACCATGGGCAGGGCCAGAGTATCTAAGGGTTATTTTCTTAGAGAAAAGAAAATACAGTCAGTATAAGGAAAAGAAATTTGGAAGTGTAGTGCTTTAGGAAAGCAAAAGAAGTTTTGTAGTAATACTGGCAAGAAGAAATACATGCTTAATACTTGAGGAAAAATAGTGGATGGCATTGAGGTGTTTGTTGCCTTCCACGAAAATACTGATTTACTGATGCACAAGTAACAATCCTATAGGGATTTCTTTTACCAAAGGAATTTGATGTCTCTACTATGGAAACACTAATGAACAAAAAGCAAAGTGCCACAAAGAGAACCGGCTTCTCTCTCTCTCTTTTTTTAAGATTTTATTTCTTTATTTGACAGAGATCACAAGTAGGCAGAGAGGCAGGCAGAGAGAGAGAGAGAGAGAGAGAGAGGAGGAAGCAGGCTCTCCGCTGAGCACAGAACCCGATGTGCGACTTGATCCCAGGGCCCTGAGATCATGACCTGAGCCAAAGGCAGAGGCTTCCACCCACTGAGCTGCCCAGGCACCCAACCAGCTTCTCTTAATCATAATCTTTTACCTCAGCCAGAATTCCAGTCCTAGTCTTTTACCTCAAACTCCGAGAATTCATTCGGGCCTAACAAGAATCTACTAAGGAAAGCCATGTTGTATATTGGCCAACTGTATGATGGAATTGCCTGTGTTCAGAAAATTCCATTCAGGGATGTCATTAAAATGATCTTTGTGAAATACTTGAGCATCATGTCAAGGATCAGGATGAAAGCTGCAGATATTTTGATGGACAGTATAATAGGCATTTTCAGATATCATTTCTGGGCAAGTGCAGTATCGGGCTTATTTGAAGATCTAGGATATGCAGGTTCATGTTGGTTTTGGCTTTAAATTTAAAGACTGAAGAAGAAAATCATTTTTTGAGGAAGGTTGATTGGGTATTGACTTTTCTTATAATAATGTCATTATTATAAAGTGACCCACTATATTAATTTGGATTTTGTATTTATTCTTCAGAGAAATGCTCGATTTATTTGGATCTGATTTGGAAGCTTGTGTTTGGATATTTGTTAACTTTAACCCTTTATCTCAAAAAATCTCTCTCTTCATATCCCTTTGATACCTTCTGCTAGAAGATGGATTAAAAGCTATCAACAACCTCACTTTTTAAAAAAATTACCTACTTTAAAATTTTTAACCATTACTGATTTTCTGCAGCATGAATTTTAATCATTGTACAGTGTCTTATTTTGAAAACCAGTCCTTCTCCTATATAACATTGATTCTAGGACTTTGGAGGTTCCATTATTACAAAACAATTAAATAGAAGAATCTAAAGTGTGTAAAATTATTTTTAGTGTAGTTAAGGTAAGTTCATCACTAGTCAGAGAAGATCTGTGCTGTGTCAACAAACCTTGCCTAAATTTTCTTGCATTTCTCTTTTCTTTTGCTTCAGAGGAGTCCCAGGAAGGTGAGAAACCCACAAAGTCTCAGATTCTTGTAGTCTTAAACTCTTTAACTTCAGGCACTCTCAGTCATTGTCCTAACGAATCACTCCATGTTTTAGGTGTTTTCCAAACTGTTTGAAGTTACTAGACGTCGAATGGTCCATCGTGCTCTTTCATCAGCACAGCGACAGAGACTGTCATCCAACAATAACAAGAAGAAAAATTAGACAGTATTTTTAACTTTTTTCTCTATCTGAAGTGTTCCCACTTATACATGTAGGACAATAAGCAGGACCGTCTGGGCCGGTCTGCATAAATGCTGTATACTTACCAGATTTGATGCTGCATATAGGGTATGGAATTGCACATCCGTCTCCTAGGAATTGTAAATGGTTTGATTAGGAGGAAAGTAGTTTGTGTTGCATTATCAAATGTCTAACTGCATTATTTGTAGCATCATAACTTTTTTTGGGAGAAGCATCTTTTTATTTCCCACATTCCTGGTTATTTTCGTCATTGCTTTGAATTGAATTTTTATATCTATTTTTATATGTAACTCTTTTTTTACCTCATGTTTTTATTTGTTTTGCACATTTCTCATACCACAGGTATTGAAGCCCCTGGGTGATAATTTGATGGAGGAAAACATAAGGCAGTCTGTAACAAACTCTATCAAAGCAGGCCTGACTGACCAGGTGTCTCATCATGCCAGATTAAAGACAGACTGACAGTTCATCTCCTCATGGACTCCACTCTCCCTTTTTTTCATGCTTGCTGTACAATGAGAACTCAAATAAAAATAAACCAAAGTTTACAATCAACTGTAGAAGTAGTTTAGTATAACTGGCTTCACAGATGGCTGCCACAGAGTGTGAAAATTGTTTGTTGGTTTTAAGCATTCTGTTCTTGGCTCCTAAGACACGGAGATTGGCTGAGGAGCGTTAGTTTATCATGCACATTTGTGCCATGTTTCTTTTATTTTTTTTCTTCCTTTTAATCTAATGTTAGTGAAATTTGTCTTGTGTAAAAGGATATTTCAGGGAAATATTTTAAGAAATCTATTTAGAGTCTAACACCAGTATCCCATTGAAATTTTAATTTTAGTGAAGTTATGAATCACTGTATCAAGAATCAGATCAGAATGACAATGAAGCCTTTCTTGAGCCACTACATTAAAAGTATATATTGCTTTATTGCCTTCAATACCAGTATTACATAAGTGCATGTATCAGAAATTTCACAGAAATTACATGACAACTCTTGTAGCTAAGAAAGTGATTCTGAGGTGTACATTTGTCTTGCCTTTTTAAATTTATAAACCTGCCCTAAAAGGAGATGCATATCTGGGAAACTGAACTGTCTTTATGCAGTTTAGCCTTCATGTACATAAAATATGCCATTAATTTTATTGGGGGAGAAATTCCATCCAAAAATGTTGCCTACAGCTATGAGTTAAGAGTGTCTGTACAGTGTGTAGCTTTTATTTTCTAAAATCACAGATAGGGCATGTATATGAATTATAAATATATAAATACGATTTTGTATTAAAAGTTTTGTAGTTTATGGCAAAATCTGGTTCTGTGGTAGGCTAAGTACAGTCCCTGTGAAGGAATGTTTGTGGCTCATGTCAGTGTGTGAATGCATAGACAATTTGAAGTTTTTGATATATTTGTGATATTTATCTTCCTTGAGCACTGCAATCTCACCCCCACCCCCAAGGGAATTCAGTGGGAATGTTTATCGTGACTTTGTCCTCTGTTGCATTTTAAAGTTATTTCCTGTAATTTATTTTCAGTACATAATTAAAAATTTGTTGTATATATAAAATGAAACTTGTGATTCTTTTTTAAGGAATCCTTGAAGTATGTATTCCATTACATAAACCATGTTTGTTCATACTGAAAAGAGCATGAGCAGGAAACACCCAAGTGAGCTCTAAGGTATTGTACCCAAAGCTAAGCTTGTAAAAATTATTTTTCTTTGTCTGTCTCTGTTAGGGAAAACTTGTGATTAGCCTAGGTATAGCTGGGGATTTAATTTCTTTTGTCCCACTCTGTCTTTCCTTTTCTTTTTCTTTCTTTCTTCTTCTTCTTTTTTTTTTTTTTTTTTGGTGGTATATGTAAGGCTAACATTTTTGCAATATTTTTGTAGCCTTCTTTATAAACACCTATTATTAAAGCACCTAGTTTGGTTTTTAAGTGAAGAAAATTCAGATGTTGAGTTGCATGCCTGAAGCTCTAAATTTACTTCGGTTGGTATAATCTCCTCCCCTCCTCCTTTCAAATCCTGTTTTTATATGGATTGTATTTGTTTCCATCTGTATTAAATTGCTACCAACTCATCTGTTCTTAAAACATAAAGAATCCACTTGAAAGGTCTTTTTATTTCTTCTAACACCCTGTTTTATGAATGCTGTGGACTGTTTTTATGAATGAAACAATAAAAAGTTTGTTGTATAATAGCAGTTCTTCTGCAGTTAAAAACACAGAGCTTACCTTTTTTAAAAAACAAAAGAGTTGTGAAATCTCGACCATGGATTTGTTAGTATTTCTTGTTGGAGAATGTGTTTTCTGCAAAGGAGATAAAATTCTATAAAGAATTCTGAGATAAAACATTTGGGTTTCAGCTGGAAGACTCTGAAAGTAATGGTTAAGTAAAAAGCAATAAAAGGGATTAAAGACATACTTAAAACTGTTGACTGATGTAACTTTGGTGTTAGTATATTCTCTGTGGAACAATTTTGTAGTAACCCATATAATAATTGAAGGTTTTGTTTCTTTAATATGGAAGGTTTTTAAAAGAAATACTTAATGACAAGTGATTTATCTTCCTAATTAAGACACAAATAATTTACTTTTATGGAAGGGACAATCATTCACAACCCTGCTACTGAGTTTGTCATATATATATATATGAAATTTATTTTGAGAGGGAGTGAGTGAGTACATGAGCAGGTTGGGGGGTGGAGGTGGAAGATGGGGGAGAGGGAGAGTCCCAAGCAGGCTCTGTACCCAGTGAGACAATGTGGAGCTTGATCTGACGACCCCAAGATCATGACCTCAACTGAAGTCAAGAGTGGGACACTTGGGTACCTGGGTGGCTCAGTCAGTTAAGCATCTGCCTTCGGCTCAGGTCATGATCTCGGGGTTCTGGGATGGACCCCGCATCAGGCTCCCCAAGCAGGGAGCCTGCTTCTCCCTCTCCCTCCCTCGCCGCTCGTGTTCACTCTTGCTAATCTTTTTTTAAAATATTTTTTTAAATCTTAAAAAAAAATGTGGGATACTTAATCAACTTAGCCACCCAGGCACTCCTGTCATGTATTTCTCATGAAGACAGCTAGTCCTCACTTCACTGAACTTACTCTAATTGTAGAATTGAAGAGCAGTATTTCACTTGTGAGGGTTTTATTTTATTTTATTTTCTAACTTGGACTTGGACTTCCAGAATTGGACAGACTAGTGGCTTCATCCTTGCTAAAGGTGTAAGTGCTGTTGATGTTAGTTATGTTGTTTCATTATTTGGGATTTTAAAAAGTTTGGTCTTAACTTGGTTAAGAACCTACTAAAAATATATACCACAAAATTTCAGTAAACAGTGTGGCTGTTGCTGTTAGTGGTGCACTATATAAATACTCAAAGTGGCCTTTCACAAAGTCTTTGTAAGCACTTGCTTAGTCTTTTAACTAACTAGGGAATTGGCTTTTTGATTAGCTGCTTATCTGCTAGTGGAGGTTGCTTGGGTCTCTTCTCAACACTGTTAGCCTTTATTGGTGGTTGAATTCCCAAACTTCGATCAGAATCAGCCTGTGCACTTGATTTCCCTTTCTTGTCATAGTTGTGGGATGATGATAAAAAACCCGCCTGTAGAGCGGTGGGTTGTGCCTCTGGCAGCCATCTTCTCATGGCAAGTGTTTACTGATCTCTCAGGGTTTGCTCACCAAATGACTTTCTTGGATTCAGTTTGGAGCTTCAGTCACGGAACTTAACTTTGGGGAATCTTCAATAGGCCTCCTGGGCAAACAAAGCTGAATTAGGGCTTTTCCACAGAGAACGGTTGCTACTTTCTCTACGCAAGGCTTAGATCCTAGGGATTTCTCCTTCACATTTGGGGTTTGCTGGAGTTTAGGTTGAGGAATTGATCAACCCTTGACATCCTTCTGTGCAGTGCAACTCCTGTTTGCTCTTTTAGATTCATGACTTTCTGGGCTCTTTGGAGCCAAAGCTTGCAGTTGACCAGGTCAGAAGTGCCTCAAGGTATGTACAGAAAGGTTGAGAAGAGGGGATCGCAGCCTTTGTATAGCCCAGGAAAGCGCTTCCACTTAATGTTGGAACTTTCCATACAACAGCCCTGTGAGGTTGGTAGGAAAGCACGTGATGAAAGAAAGCATCAGGTGAATCTCAGACTTGCAAACGAGGACGCTACTACACACCTGGGGGTTTCAGTCAGTATGAAGTTTTAGACACAAATAAGTAACCTTCCTACTCAAGATGAAAGCTCTTTTTTTTTTTTTTAAGATTTTATTTATTTGACAGAGATCACAGGTAGGCAGAGAGGCAGGTAGAGAGAGAGGAGGAAGCAGGCTCCCCACTGAGCAGAGGGCCTGATGCGGGGGCTCGATCCCAGGACCCTGGGATCATGACCTGAGCCGAAGGCAGAGGCTTTAACCCACTGAGCCACCCAGGCGCCCCAAAAGCTCTGTCTTGATGGCGTTCTATAAAGCACCAAAAGGTGAAGGAAACACGGTTTTATTAATACAGAAACAAGGTGAAAATCACCCATTATATTACTCATACGAAACAAGAAGTGAAGTTGTCCTGTTCTTTGGTGCACCTCAGTGGTAACCATTATTTGGTGTGCTGTTGAAATGACTCCTGAGCTTACTGACACGTCTATGTGTGCATAAAACATACTCCTGATTTTTATTTTATACAAAAACAATTACCCTGTAATTTTTTCCCTCCATGTAATGGAATTTTCCTAGGTTACTCAGTAATTCTTCATGTGATTGCATTGATTCTTCTGAGGGTAGATGGGGTATTGAGAAGAGAACATTAGACCTTGGATTGCTGCTAATAGTTTTTATTATTTTTTCTGAGTTTTCCCCTATCCCAGGATTGGTGAGAGAGTCAGATAATAAAATGTGAAGGGTGTTTGGGAAGCAGGAATAGAAAATGTGCGCTCTTAATCTTTCTTGTTTTATTTTATTATTATTATTTTTTACATTTTTAAAAAAGATTTTATTTATTTGACAGAGATTACAAGTAGGCAGAGAGGCAGGCAGAGAGAGAATGGGAAGCAGGCTCCCTGCCAGCAGGGAGCCCGATGCAGGGCTTGATCCAAGGACCCCGAGACCCCGACCCGAGCTGAAGGCAGAGGCCTAACCCACTGAGCCACCCAGGTGCCCCTAATCTTTCTTGTTTTAATGCTCCATGTACTGCCTTTATTTGGCCAGTAGTCTGGTAAATGACTTCTGGAAGCTTGTCCATTGCTAAGGTGGGTGGGATGAGGACTGTTTGAGCATTAGTTTAGACTTTCTAGTCACAAAATGTGAAGACTACCTAAAAACTTGGAAGCATACTTACATTTTAATTTCAGGAAAAGGAGATGGACCTTAGAGTTAAAACTGAGTTTTGGTCCCAGCGCCACCCCTTCGTGTTTTGTGAATTTGAGTAAACGCTATGTGACAGCTTAGCCTCCACTGCTTCATTTATAAAATGGAGAGAATACATCTATACCTCTGTCTCTCTGGGGAAAAAAAAGGCATTATTTTACATGTTTGCAAATAGAACACTTAACTGGTTTAGAAGACAGCTGGATTCTCATATCAGCTTCCACATTCGTATGTTGCAATATGTTGTTTTGGTTGAAGTATACGAAGAAAATCTGGCCTCACATAGTTATGTAGTTGGAAAAGGAGGATCTTCCCAGAATGCCAGAAGCCTACTGGGGACTCCTAGGATTACATTTTAAGAACCACTGCCCTAGAGTAAGAAATTCCGTTGGTAGGCATGTTAAACAGTGCCCCTGTATGAATTTGAAAGGATGAGGTGTACTTACTGTCTTTTGTTTTATTTCCAATTTTGGGATAATTTTTCTTCCTTTTTTTAAAAAAAAAGATTTTATTTATTTATTTGACAGACAGAGATCACAAGTAGGCAGAGAAGCAGGCCGGGCGGGTGGGGGGCGGGGGGAGCAGGCTCCCCGATGAGCAGAGAGCCCGATGCGGGGCTTGATCCCAGAACCCTGAGATCATGACCCGAGTTGAAGGCAGAGGCTTAACCCACTGAGCCACCCAGGCACTCCTGGGATAATTTTTCTTAATACTTAAAAGCCCATGTCATGTTCCTGTCATCAGAAACAAAGATTGCACCAGATAGATAAAATTCTCCTTGGCAATAGTAGGAATTGGGACTGATTATAAACCCATTCCTTTAAAATAACCCCCCTACATTCTATCAATGTAAACTGTGTGCAAGAAATTTTCAAAATACAAAAAAAAATCACCATTAGTACTTGGAACTTGTGAGAGATTAAGACTGATAACCTTTCTTAAAGGCCTTCCAGTTTTGTTACCTCTTTGTGTGTAAAAGTCAGTCTCTTTTGATTGGATACGCTGCTATATACATAATGCTTTTTTTGAAACTGCATTTTCTGTTTAATATATCCTGAATCTTTTATCATGACAGTAAATCGTATTCCAAGTTTTTTCAATGGCTACATTTTATTTTGTTACTCTTTTACATTGACACTTTCACATTCCATAACGTTGCATTTTTGACATTTTCATTTTTGCTGTGTTAATAATACAGCAGGGATGACCTTGTACCTGCAT